GCTGTCCCCAAAATACGTAAAAATGTCCCGCTTTGACAAACAAAAGCGTAGCATCATGCAAACTGTCCTCCCGTCCCGTGCCATCATTATGACACCGCGCGTACCAGGTTTCCCGGCATGGCCCTTGATTATTTTGAAAAACTACACTTTTGAACTTAAAGTTACGAAGTGACAATTTTTAATTAATCTACAATAAATTATCAAATGACCTAAGTTATATCTAATTAGTATTTATTTGCTGTTCAGAAAAAATTAAAAAGCCAGCAGCCAGATTTTATATGATTCTAAGTTCTCATTCTCACTTATGATCATTAAACGATTCAAACAACTATGTGTTTTATTTTTAAAACTATAATAAAGGGTCCAGATTGAGTTTTGGTAACGGCGGCCATTCACAACGGAGAATAGCCATCTGCGCAGGACAGGATTATATTTCCCAAGTGTATGCGCAAGCACAGGTCAACCCTACTCTTATAGTCCGATGGAACGGTAATCCGAGACGACGGGAGAGAGATCAGGCGCAGGACCAAGAGCTTTACTTGCTTCCGGAGGCACGGTGGTTAAACCCTGCCAACTTCAATAAGTTCGAAATCAATACTCCGGGCTGCTACTGAGACTTTTGTGACAGAAAAACCCAATACCTAAATGAATCTTGGCCCGGCTCGGGTTTCGAACTTGGGACCACATGATCAGCAATTGCGTTTACGACCGTTAGACCAAGAAGACAGTCAAAAGTGTTAAAACTATAATAATTTTAAAGGCGTCCCGCTCTGAGGAAAAAATTGATGGTCACTTTATGTTGTATACCTATATACCCTTCAAACCGGAATACAGCAGTGCACGTATTTGGTGGCAATGCAATAAACCAAGTGTAATTTTTTTAATTCCTTATATATTTTATCACATATCTTAGCACATATTGTAAATCTGCTTTTGTTGTATAATGTCATCAAGTAAGGTTTATTTATAATATCGATCTCGATTGTAGAAACCAAGCTGTTTAAAAAATGTCGCAAGCTTTTATGATATTTAATTGGCAGTTAATTTATTTCACAATTTATTATTTTTAACCATCCGGCTACATTCCACTGCTGGGCATGGGCCTCCCCTATTGCAGGAAGGATTTGCTCCAACGGTCACGTTTGGCAGGCACATAGACGATCACAGCACCAGATGCAAAGCACCTTTTGACAGTGCTTACCCTAGCCCTAGCCGATCTGGGTATTTTACACCTAGAGTTAACGAGATAACTATATCGCCGTATATCGTTAGCCGTAAGATATTTTTGGCATATCCTAGTCATTCCTTACGATATCTATGGTACGATATAAGGTGATTTGGGTTGAATGGTCTAAGAGGGTGATAGATTCGATAAGACCGCCAATACATGGCTCTTAACACAACTATAAATTCATTCAAATGTATGTAAAATAATTTTTATAACGTACGATAGTTTTTTAAGTTTTTGTTACAAGTATTTGTGACAAACGATCACATAGTCCTCTTTTAGATTTGTAGATTTGATAATTATATCAGAGTGAAGGGAGTGAGGTTCATCCACAGTAGTACTAAATACCGCATTATTATTTTGTCTACTTTGCTACTGTAGGTGATCCGGCGCTCGTGTGCTTGTGCAGCGGTTCTGTCGACATATTTCTTTAAAAATGCTTCAAAATTTACATAAATGAATTAAATTATTATTAAAACTCGATTCTTATATTTTAGCCCTGAATCGTTGGAAGTATTTCTTGCACTACAGTTCTTATCAATTCGGGAAATTTTATATTTTTCGGCCTGTACCCAGCTGTGGGACGTATATAGGCTGTAACTTTTTTTTTAACCTATATTAAAGAGCAGCTAAATTATTGATAATGAATTCAATCATCTGTCTGGCATCAAAGTTGTTCTAATAAACCACAGCTTAGCTTTAAAATATAACTAGGTATGTACTTACATTTCTGAGAGTCGGTCTTATGCGGTGACTTCTTGTCGCGCACCATGTTGGCTGGGAGTGAGGGGTGGTGGCGACGGTGCGGGAGGGAGGGCCGGCGCGAGCGCGGCGCGCCGTTATACTATCGCCCGCGTCCCCCACTTCCGCGCAGAGCTAATGTGTTCTCGTGATTGTGCCAAACACCTGAAACAACGACAGCTAATAATAATCTTGCTAGTTGGGAATAAGGTGGTCTTATTTGTTACGTAAATATACTACATATCCTTATACTTTTATGAAATATGGATATTCCTGGAAAGTATAAGGACTAAAGTAAGAAAAAAGAATACAATACCTACTGAGACGTTGTTTTTTGTATATACGTCGCAGGCTTATGGTAAAATCAGGTTTTTGATAAAAAACCTCGACTTTTGAGCAAGAACCGAAAGAAGACGGGTTTTTATGGGTCAGATATACGCGGCGGGCATATAACACCCTACGTACACAATATAATAACGCTTTTAGATTATTGCTGGGGCTCCTACGTTACTGTAGTGCATCAGGTATGTTTGTTAATACCCACGTAGACAATTTTTAAACACTTATTCACAAAAGAACTGCGTCAGTGATGCACAGGGTTTGTGGGAGCACCAACAGCATTCTTAACGTAATTAGCGAGAAACCCGAGTGTGCTTTTTTGAGACACTTGTACCCATTGGCTCGGACAGGCACCCCAAGTATATGAACTAATATTATTTAATTTATTACCAACTTTTACTTACAAATATTTGATACCTTTTCTTCGTATTTTTAACAAAAATAATAATTATTATTATTATTATATCATTATGGTAAGTTTTTGTTTTATTAATATATATTTAAGTCGGGTATAGTATATGTTACCGTGACATCAGTTTGTTATTTTATTGGGGTATCTATATAATTTTCTCACCTGGTTGGGTTCTATAAATATATAATTATAAATTAAAATGAAAAGATAAATATACATAAATATCAATAAAATAAAATAAATACAAAAACTACATAAATAAATAAGATCCAACCAGATGGAAGCCCTCGGCAGGGGAGACCAAACGGCCGAGGGTTAGGGGGAAAGGAAAAGAAACCGGCGGACGATGCGGGCGGTATCGAGGAGCACCGCCTTCTGCATTTGAGCCCGGAGCGGTCCGTCACGGAGTCCCATGCGGCATACCACCCCACATGTCGATCACCTCGTGAGCCAGGTCCAGATATTTTGTTCGTTTCTCTGTTTCGGCTTTCACGAGGTTCTCGTCGTACGGAATGGTAATGTCGATCAAAAATATCCTTGACTGTGCCCGGTCCATCAGCACAATATCAGGCTTATTCGCAAGAATAGTCCTGTCTGTGATGATGGCCCGGTCCCAGTAGAGCCTGGCGCAGACATTTTCGAGCACGGCTTCCGGCAAGTACTTGTAATACGGCAATTTTCGGTCCACGAGACCGTATTTCAGAGCGAGCTCCTGGTTATAGAATTCTGGCTACTAGGTTGTGCCTGTGCAAGTACTCAGAGTTAGAAAGCGCCGAACAACCGGAGATGACAAGCCTAAGTGACTCCCCGGGATGGCGACAAGCTCGACAGACGTCGACAGTGCCATCCTTTAGGATATATCTCCGATAGTTGTTGGTCTTAATAACCTGATCCTGTATTGCACAGACAAAACCCTCGGTTTCCCCGAAGAGGTCACCGAAACGTAGCCAGTTGAGGCAGGCGACTATATCTACGTGAGGCTCATGTAGAGCCTTCTAGTACCTCCCGTGGAGCTCCTTCTCCTTCCATACGGTCTCCCGGTCGGAAATGCTCTGTACTGCCGGGTCTTGCCATTGCTCGTTGGCTAAGGATAGAGGGGTAAGTCCTTTATCACCAGAAATGACGTCATTATAGAATCGATCATCCGATCTCGTCAGGAAGTAATGACGGAGGCTGCACACTTCGCGATTATGCATGGTGAGCGCGCTCAGGAAGCCACGCCCACCATGCTTTCGCTGCAAGTACAGCCTCATTACCGACGATCTCGGATGATGCATCCTATGGGACGTTGTAGTGCGGACTTTTCTATCCAGGGCGTTAAGTTCAGTCTGACTCCACCTGAGTATGCCAAAGGTATACATAAGGACAGGCATGACCCAACCGTTATATGCATGTGTCTTATTCACACCGGACAAAAGGCTGTTATGCCCTTTGGCCAAGCGTGCATAAAACACGTCGCAAACTGACTGTTTCATACCAGCCTCATCGATACCGATGTTCTGTGACATACCCAGGTATCGGTATGTTTCAGCCTCGGAAAAGGCCCTTAAGTTGACGGGCATAGATAAGTCTATGGCCTCAGAGTTAGCAACCCTTCCTCTTTCAACATGGAGGACCGCACACTTATCCGTCCCCAGCTCCATTCTAATAGAATTGCTAAATTCACAAGTGATGTTTAGCAATTCCATAAGATGGGAGCGACTGGAGGCGAATAATTTGAGGTCATCCATATAGAAAAGGTGGGTCACTTTTGTACCTCCTTTCCGAAGCTGAAATCCCCTCCCGGAGCCCTCCAGTAAAGTACTGAGAGGGTTCAAAGAGAGGCAGAACCAGATTGGACTCAGACAGTCGCCCTGAATATACCCCTACTTATCCTTATGCGGCTTTCCGCAGCCGTCATCCGCTCACCTAGATGACAGAGTACTCGTACTCCACTGCCCCATACACTGCTCGAGGAAGTCTCGAACTGTACAGTCAATCTTGTACAGCTCGAGGACCCTCTTTAGCCATGTATGGGGCACCGAGTCAAATGCCTTCCTGTAATCTATCCAGGCGGCGGAGAAGTTCCGACGGTTGCGTTTCACCACTTTGCCAATGACTGCGTCAATGAGGAGTGGTTCTTTGGTTCCACGACCGCCGCCCCGACATCCATTTTGAGCGCGCGACATCACCTGATTTGAGTCCAGGTGACGAGCGATTCTCGCGCTCAAAATGGATGTTAGTGTCTTGTATATGGTCGGTAGACACGTGATGGGGCGGTATTCTGTGGCACCCTGATCTTTAGGAACCAAATGAGTGATCCCAGTAGTGAAGAGGCTTGGGAGCGACTTCTGGTTGAGAGCCTCTTGAAACTGTCGGGCGAGCACAGCGTGACACACCATGAACCCCTTCAGCCAGTAGTGATGCAAGCCCGTCAAGCTCCGGACTTTTCCAGTTCGGGGCCCTACGAACCACCTCAGCTACGTCATCCGGCGTTATGATGACGGGGTCCATGGGCTTAATACCCGTACACTGACTCGCCACAACTTCCGTCCAAGGGCCCTCGTTGTGGTTTACGGGCTCTGACCACAGGCTGCGCCAGAATGCGACCATGTCGACCTGATTTGGTGCTGGGCCCGTTCCACTTACCATTGGTCGCTCCAACGATTTATAGAGCCTTCTGATCACTCTGGAAGAGACAATTCCGGTTGAACCGTGTCGACCTCTCGGTATATCGCCGAATCCGCTATCCCCAAGCAGCGATTCTTTGCTTCTTTGCTTGCGTTTTTTCATTATATCCGGCTGGGACAAACTAACATTTGTCCCAGCAAACGCCGTCGTGACGGTTCGCACAATCCTTGGCCTGGTATTGCCTGACCGACATATCAGTCTGCCGATGAGGGCCCTAGCCTTTGTGATACGTTCTTCAATTCTTATTCTCCAGACTGGGATAGCACTACTTTGTCCAGTAGCGCGTCCAGCCGTGGAAAGTTTGGCGCCTATAATACGGCGCCAAAAAGAATTGAGTCCGTCTTACAAAGGTCCCGGCTGGCTTCCAAATAGGTAACCAGCATTGGGTTCAGAGCCCTCACGACAGCCCGATTCCGCTTGCTTAGGGCTAAGCGGGGAAGTCGCGGTCGATTTTCGAGAGGCGTACTGCGTGTTTCCAATAAAAATAAGTAAATAAATAGTTAATTATTTCAATTTACCTGAAAAAATCCTGGTTTTTTTTTTGGTTTTGGTTGGATTCGTTCGTATTCTGTATAGCGTTTACACGCATTGACATGCGCGACTTCGTTCGATGTTTGTGCTTACGCACTAACAAGGGGCAAATCCTCTGTTACTAGTTCGCCAGTTATTTTGCTGTGGACCACGGTCCAGTTCCAGAATTAACGTTCCCTTCGGGGGAAGGGCATCAAAATGGTTGGCGCTCACCGCGCACGGCGTGTGTAGCGGCGTGATAGCGAAGCCCTTGTATCAGGTATTTTGTATAAATATATTGCGAGCCTTTTCCAAGCAGGAAGGGATAAATAATAATAAATTAATAATGTAAACCTGATACAAGTGGGACGTATTAAATAGGAACGTTTTATTCTGTTATGTTCTTAACCTTTCTCGAGCCCTGTCCTCGTGAACGGGGTTCACTTAGCTTATAAGGCACTACCAACAGCTTTTAATTACTCCAGTAAATATTCATTCTTCCAAGACACCTCAAAGAACTAAGTTACTAAACAAACACAACGTAAATAAGGGTCCTAACTAAGACGATCACGCCAAAAATATTACAAACGGCCTTAAACCTTTTGAAAGATCATTTAGAAATATCAAAACATATTTAATTAATCCTGGTCACATATACTTGTATAATTTTTATCGAAAGGGGTAAATTAATTATATTAATTTTATTTAATATAATATTATTTTTATATAGAAGGGGGGGAGCGTTACAATATGAATAATATGTTGCGAACCCGTAACATTCATTGCTATGCAGATGACAGCACTGGTGATGCTCTCTACACCGGCCGTGCCAATATTTCTCGGGAAAACCTCTCCGAGTACAAGGACAAACTTGTGTTCGAAGTCGAGCCTCTGCTGAACAGAGTCTCAGATTCCGGGTGACTAATTCTAGTCCAGTTTAACCCCCAGAAGACACAAGTTTGCGCGTTAACCGCTATAAAGAACCCCTTTGTCGTTTCTCCTCAGTTTCAAGGCACCTCCCCCCCCCCCTTGTTGCCTCAGCCAGTATCGGAATCCTCAGCGTCGACATATCTAGTGACGTACAGTTTCGTGGTCACTTGGAAGAGAAGGCCAAATTGGCCTCTAAAAAACTTGGCGTGCTCAGCAGAGCGGGACAGTATTTCATGCCGGCACACCGCCTGAAACTTTACAAGGCGCAGGTTCGGCCGCACATGGAATACTGTTCCCATCTCTGGGCTGGGGCTCCCCAGTACCAGCTCCTTCCACTTGACCGCATCCAGCGCAGAGCGGCTCGAATCATCGACGACTGAGTGCTTTCCGATCGGCTCGATTCACTGGCGCTGAGAAGAGATGTTGCATATACTATGGGAAGTGCTCTGAGGAATTGTTCAGATTAACCCCAGCCACCAAATTTCGTGAACGCACTACGCAGCAAACCTCCCGATACCATCCACACCATTTGGATGCTTGGCGGTCCACCACTGTACGTTTCAAAAGGAGTTATCTTCCGCGTACGACCTCCCTGTGGAATAGTTTATCACCGGCGATTTTTCCGGACTGATACGACCTGGGGACCTTCAAGAAAAGAGCTTACTCGGTTGTTGCGGTTGATCATGGGCGGCGGTAGTCACTTAACATCAGGTGAGCCGCATGCTCGTTTGCCTCCTCCAAAAAGGGTCTCCGGTTCTTTACAGTCACCATACGAAACACAGCAGCATTAAGCTACTATTTTACGCTGGTATTCTGTGAGATGCGTGATCCTTCCCCGGTGGAGACGACCCATTCGTGCTGTAACCATAATATAGCTGCAGCGTGGCTCTACCACGTATAATTTTACCACGTATATAATAAATAGCAACCAACATTCATTTTATCATAAAACTAAATCAATCTAGGTTTTTGATCAGAAAGCAGGTTTTAACATAAACTGCGACTCAAACATACACAAGAAATAAAAAAATATAATGAAATCACAACTTTTTTGATGTCACTGTGTAAGGTTTTTCCGGTTCTTGATCAAAAGCCGAGGTTTTTGATCAAGAACCGGAAAAACCTGATTTTACCATATTCCTGCGACATATATACATATGGTAGAGCCATGCTGCAGTTATATTAGTAGTATAGTTGTAGTACGAATGGGTCGGCTTGACCGGGGAAGGACCACGCTCTCACAGAATACCAGCGTAAAATAGTACAGAACCGGAGACCCTTTTTGCTAGAAACGAGGTATTCCATCTTAGTCCCCACGGGTGACAACTCATATGCATTTTGATTTTTAATCGAGGATAGATGTAGATGTTTATGGTCCGCAGCAAACACTTAACATCAGGTGGACTGTGTGCTCGTTTTTGTTTGTCACCCTATCCTATATTAAAAAAAAAACACAAAACAATTTCTCAGTATTGTATTCTAAATTATTATACTTTAATCCTTATACTTTTAGGAAAATCATTATTTCAGTTTATCCATTTATAATCTGATTCGTACAACAACGTCAACATTTTTGAAGATTCTCATAATTATTCTCTCCGTTCTTCGGCTTGATTTTGAAAATCGTTGCAAGTTTGAACTAACACAGCTCTAATTTTCATATGTATTCCATATTTGCTCTGGCATAATAATAATAAGGTATAACTTATGTCCATTCTAGCCATTCGCTGTGAACATTTCTGTAATAAGACTGTCTGGAAAATATCGCTTCCAGAGCGATATGATTGTCTATTGTACCTTCTCTGTTTATTTAATTTTGTTTTTGTTTCAATATGTATTTGTGTACTATAAAGAATATATTGATTTATTGAAAGCCACATTAAAATAGTTTACAATTTTTTAACAGCTCTCATCTCCTATTTTTACCGTAAGGGATGGAGTATCTCAAAATGCTTAAAATCCTTAATCTTAATCTTCATCCTGAAATATTGATAAGTTTCCAATCAAAAGCCTATAATAGTGTTCTCAAGGATATAATTAAAACATGGCAGAATTTCAAACAATATTTCATCTATAATTTTACTCAATTAAGGGTAGAATTGTCAAAAACGTGTGTTTCTAAGTTTTTAATATCAAGCCTAAATAAAAATTATTATCAATCCAAATTTTAAGCGGTGAATAGATGCAGATTTTGTAAAGTTCGAAGATATTAACTAATACTTCCATAATTTCGTAGTGGGTATATCCTCTCCAACATGCAAGGGAAAAAACCAGATTTTCCCCACGCAGAGATTATATTAGAAATATAATTAAAAATTAAATTATTTAGATTTTCGAAAAATTAAATGTACATTCCATTATTTTAATATAAAAGTAATTGTACAAATTTTCAAGTTTCAAAAATCATTTAATAATTTTTCACCATACAAATATAAAATCACCCAATAATATTAAGTGATTTACAAATTACAACATCTTTCACTCTCTAACAGTGATATAAGGTTTAGGTGGTGCCTACATCATAAAAGGCAGCTACTGTTCAAACAACAGATTACTACGTTTAGCAGTTTTGGCTGTGCATTGATAGATATGTCAGTCACTAAGGACATCTTATTTTTATATATTATATAGACAACAATCTGTAACTCCCTCAGGGGTAAGATTTTTCAAAATCCTTTCTTAGTGGGTGTCTACGTCCAATTTTGCTTACATATACATATATTTATACTGGATGACTGTTTTTACCGTCTGGAAAAAAATAACTTGTAACATGTAAACATAGTAGAAGCCTGTAGCACTACTATATTACAATATATATATATATATATATATATATATATATATATATATATATATATATATATATATATATATATATATATATATATATATATACGTTCACATAATGATGATCGAAGGATTTAATTTAAATGAAGGGTATTTCATTTCGTAAAAATAAACCACAATTTTAAAAAATTATGCAGCTTTTCTCATTTTCTTAAGCAACCCATACTACCAACCATAATATACGAGTATTACAGCATTTCTGAAATTCACCCCTAACGAGGCTAAAACGACGCTGAGTAAACTCAGTAATGACTGCTCTGATATCACCTACTATTTAACCTACTATTGTCTTTGTTTTGAAGTAGAAAAGCGAAACATCACAGTGAAATCAGCATGAACAAGAAATAAAGTATAAAAATAAAGAACACGATTTGCTTGCATACTGTGAAATTTAAGGCAAGCACTTTTCCCCTGAAGTATTAAATAATACATATTCAAAGTTAAAGTTACAGCCTATATAGCTGTATACATCCCACTGCTGAGCACAGGCCTCCTGTAATTTCTTAGAGTATTTTAGGGCAAGGAACTGTCTGCTGCGCTGCCCCAATGCGACGAACGTGTTGGTGACCTTCACATGTCTTCGAAATATTTTTATTATTTCTCAGACATGCAGGTTTCCTCTCGACGTTTTCTTTCACCGCTTAGAGCATGGTAAATCAGCACTTAAAATTGCAATTAACAATTTCATTGGTGGCGGCGGAGATCGAGCCCGGATTGCTCGCGTACTGTGTAATTTACAGCAAGCGCCTTAGCCCCTGAGCTACCACGGCCCTCATATACATATTTAGAAATTAGTAATAAGTTAAGTTATATCG